GGCTAACAATAAGATCAGGAAAATGCTTTATAAGCTTTTCCACAACCTTAAATTTGAAATTACAGTTGAAATGAACAAAAAGATCATACAATATTTAGAGATTGAATTTAACCTCACTACTGGCAATGTCTCTCCATCCAATCAGTTATGTACCATGCTTGATACATGCTTAGGCAATCATGTATCATTTGATACATGACTGACAAGGCAGAATCTTTTCCTACAGTAGGTTGCCATTTCTTTCTGTGGTAGACCAGTTGCCATCCAAGGCTATAGAACCCAGTCTGTCTTGCTATTTACCCATAGCTGGAGGGAGAAGACAAGGATTCATACCTTTCCCAAGGGTATTAGCACATAAGTGAATGTAATGGTTTTGACTGGAATTCGAACTCGGCTATCCGATTTCTCAATCTGAGCCGCTATCCATTAGTCCACGATATTCAGTCTCCCCCCCACGAGGGTGTCATGTGGCACAAGGCCTTTTTAACGTGGGCATTCCGATATCTTAGGCTCGGCCAAAAAAAATAATTTCAGTTTGAACCCGTATAACAAATCGGGTTCAGGGCGTCCTTTACCTCCCTGAAGGAGACTCCGCGCCTTTTAGGATATAGCCTCCTTGGGTTCCTCCTCTACCATTTCAAGAGAGTTTAACTGAAGTCCACTGTGTCTCCTCTGCATACATGAAGTCAAATACTATAGTGAAATATATGAATTTCAAATCTAATCATCCTCCAAGCATTATTAAGCACATCCCGAAAGGTATTGAGTGAAAACTGTCCAGGAATTCCTTCTATCTTTGAATCAGAAAAAAAAAAAAAACGTATGAAACAGTATTGAGAGAGGAGAGGCACAAAAACAAATTGAAAATATAATCCTCAACCCAACCAGCAAGTGAGGAATAGAAATAGAAAGATTATCTGTTTCACAACCCCCCACCCAACTTTTTTTTTTTAATTTAGTAGTAAGAACTAATATGTGTTAAAAAGATATACATATACACACATACTTGCACGTACATATATATATATATATATATATACAACTTTCTCAGGTGTTATCAATACAGTTCTCAATATTAGAGCTATTAAGTATATATTAGTGAATATACATAATATCCAATATTAATAACATGACTGAGTTTCATGCAAACTTGCAATCTTCAGGTGCTGAATACAAACTGACCATTAAAGCATTATGAAATTCACGTTCTTGTGGTGACAATTTGAAATTGTCTTTTAAGGCTTGTTTGTTTAATTACTGTTGCCTAAAGTATAATTATTTACAATTTATATCATTCTAATTCTTAAGTTCAAAAGATGAAAAATTTAAAAAAAAAATTAAAATTATTTTAAATGAAAAATTTGAAATTAAAAATTAAGTAAACATGTGATCGATGTAATTATATATGAATTTGGTTTGATCAGGAAGACAATTCCTTAAGGGGCATTTGAACTCATAAATAATGTTCGTTCTTTGTAATTTTGACTTAGCTGGTGTGTTGTTATTTTTGAGGATAAGGTTAGCTGTCTTAAATTTTTTATAATAAATAATTAATTTGATTTTTTTTTATTTGGGTCAATTGGGGTAGTGTATTTGTTTATGATATTTCTAAGATTCATTTTGTTTGTAGTTAATGTGCATTTGGTTTTTGTAGAAAATATTTAGGTTATTTTTGACTATGTGTTCCCTATCGTTGTTATGTACTTTGTGGAGAAATAGTCTAACTTGGTAGTCTATAAGGTGGTTAGAGAAGCCATCGTTAATTAGTGTCTGTTTTAAGGAAGAGTAGTCGAGAGGATGAATTCTTTTTTTAGGAAGTTTTTTTTATTACTGCTATTTTGCATCTATAAACTATATTATTGTACTCAATTAATTTATAACGAGTATATGTAATTTCACCTTTGTAAGCATAAGGCTAGGTTCCAAACATTAGATATATAGTCTTGACTTATTATAACAACGGTATTTTATGCAAAAAAGAGAGTTATTCCCCTTGATACATAATGTGATTAATTTTTATTTTAATTTTTCATCTTTTAAACTTAGAATAAATTATAAATAATTGATTATAATATTTTAGGCAACAATAATAAAATGAACAAGACTTAACATGATTTTAAATCAACACCATGAGAACGTGAATTTTATAACGCTCTAATGGTCAGTCTGTATTCACTACCTGAAGATTGCAAGTTTGCATGAAAATGAGTCATGTTATCAACATGGGATCTTATGTATATTCACACACACACACACATATATATATATATATATATATATATATATATATATATATATATATATGAGAGAGAAGATCAGGCACGGATAGATAAAGAGAAGATCAGGCAACGATAGATAAAGAGAGAAGATCAGGCACGGATAGATAAAGAGAAAGATCAGGCACGGATAGATAAAGAGAGAAGATCAGGCACGGATAGATAAAGAGAGAAGATCAGGCACGGATAGATAAAGACAGAAGATCAGGCACGGATAGATAAAGACAGAAGATCAGGCACGATAGATAAAGACAGAAAGATCAGGATAGATAAAGACAGAAGATCAGGCACGGATAGATAAAATACAGAAGATCAGGCACGGATAGATAAAGACAGAAGATCAGGCACGGATAGATAAAGAGAGAAGATCAGGCACGGATAGATAAAGAGAGAAGATCAGGCACGGATAGATAAAGACAGAAGATCAGGCACGGATAGATAAAGACAGAAGATCAGGCACGGATAGATAAAGAGAGAAGATCAGGCACGGATAGATAAAGACAGAAGATCAGGCACGGATAGATAAAGAGAGAAGATCAGGCACGGATAGATAAAGAGAGAGCCATCCAGCTGATTCAATGGAAAATGAAGAATTCACATTAAAATGTTAAAATAAGTAAATAGATAAGCAAGAAAAATGTAAATATTTTAGATAAACACACACAAAAAAAAAAAGAAGCAAATTCTTCAAAGTCATTATCAGGATGCAAGTTCTGCTTTTCTTCTCATTGTCATGAAAAGTCCAAATAAATCGAACAGAAGCATTGGAAAATTCTACAAAAACACTAAGCCAGGTTCAAATAAAATTGCTTTTCTTCTTTGTTTTTTTTTTCCTTCTGAAAAGCACAAGCCAACCATTTCTAAACTAACTGTAAAACAAGATGCATTAACTTTTACATGCTTAAAAAAGAAATTTCATTCTAATGTACATTTGCCTTTTCGATTCTCGCCTTCCCCTAAGAAAGCGGGAACCTAAAAAGCAAATTTCTAATCAATTCAAACAGAAAAACTACTCACTCAAGGTACATAGGATACATTTTCAATGAATTTAATTCTTCAGAGCTAAGAGGAAAGAAAGTAAAAAAGAAACATACAAGAAATGTTGCTCAATAATAAATGGTTCAGTTTACCAAACAAGCTTTAAAATATTTTTTAGAAATATAAAAATTCTTAAATTATGTTTTGAAATTCATTTTGATGAAGCATCTTCAATTTTTTTTTTTTACTTACACGTTTGACTCCTCATTGTTGCTTTTTATCCTAACCCTCTGACTCTATGCACTCTTCATTATTACTATTATTTTATTACTAGTTTTATTCCATTTTATTATTGTTTCTTTTTATCCCAACACTCTGGCTCTATACACTCTTCATTATTACTATTATTTTATTTCTAGTTTTATTCCATCTTATTATTGTTGCTTTTTATCTCAACACTCTGGCTCTATACACTCTTCATTGTTACTGTCTAAATTATCGTTATATTTTCTGTCTAAATTTCTGGGATGAGGATTTATTTTTATTATTTATGGTTGGACTAATGTCTTCATCTTTGTTTTCATGATAACTGTTGTATCCTTAAAGAGGTTACAAGCAGACAAAGGTGGTACTTGAGTGAAAGGAACAGCAACACAGATGTAGATGAAAGAAAGAGTTTAATATAAAAGGGAATACACTACTGAAAGGCAAGGAACCAGTTAGCAGACTAGTAATTCCTGAGGCAAGTCCACCAGGTATATCCTTTGCTCATTATATATATCTACCGATATAGTCAGACCTCGATAGGTAATAGGGAGAGTGGGACATTCCATTACAACAATAACGTTTCGGTTGCTGTGCCCTATGGCTTTCTGCAGGTATCTGGGGAATAAATAACATGCACTTTTTTTTTTTTTTTTTAGTGCCATGAACTGGTTCTGTTAATGTTGGTAAAAGTCTATCTGCTTACCTACATCCACCAGCAATATTCTTTGCATTTGATATTCTATTCTTTTTTGTCATTATAAGTAACTTGTTGGTACAGAAATCTCTTAGATTTATGATAAAAGATAAGACACAGAGTGCCAAATACAGAAAATAGTGTCAGTGGCTTAACAGACTGTCATATAGGAAGAAAATGAGTAACTACCAACACCGAGGTTCAAGTGTGACACACTGGACTTATGAATATATGTTTTTCACCCATTGTATAAATAGCGGTGTCAGGCTACTGACTGCAGTGACTATTGAGTGGAACTATCCAGTTGAATTAGTGTGAATTATTGTGCGTCAATGAGTTGGGCTTTGATTTAGGATTTACTGTTAAGCCGAGCTGCACTACTAACAAGGTATTCACTGAAAGGGTTGATTATCTTTGGTCAACTTTTACTTCTTTGTTTTTGTTAAGTATTTATTTGTAGTTGTAATTAAATACTGTTTTATTTAACATTGAAGTTTTGAGTTATACTTAATCATTTAACGGCCACCGTACGTCACAAAACAGACATTAGCTGAATTGGTTTCATATGGTGATGATAAAAAAAACCAAAAAAACACAGATTTATGTTATTAATAACAACACTATTTGTCCATAGCTGGGATCTTAACAGGTGCTACCACTGTGGGTGAGGGTAGACCTTGGAACAACAGCACTAAGAAGTGGTTTTGCAGTCCTCAAAACCTCCGAGCAGAGGCAACCAGATATAGTTTATCATCATATCCAGGACTATACATTTTTTTTTTTTTTTTTTTTTTTTTTAAATAGACTGGACTAATTTTGACAGTTAATAAGACAATACAAAATTTAGTAATGTTGGTATTTCAACTATACAATTGATTCTAAAATACATTTAATTTTGTTACCCCCACCCCAATATCTAAATCAGATTTATTTCATCTGTTCATGAGCAGGGTTGTTCCCAACTGAGTGAGTTTTAAAAGCTCAGCCCTATTCAATTCTGAATTTTGCTATTTGCAACTTTTGAGGCTAATTTTTTAAATAAGCTGGGCAAATTTTAACAACTAATGAAAAGTGAATTCAAAATTTAGTAATATCTGGACCCTCAAATGAAGCTGACCACCTTGGGTTAAAGAGTAATACTAAAAGTGGATGAGAAAGAAACTTTTGGTTTACAATTCTCTGAAAGCAAAAAAAAAAAAAAATGAATTCGAGTTTTACAAACCTAGATTTTTCATTTTTTCTCCTCTACTCATCTTGAAAGCAAAGTAAATGTAATCTAAAAAACATTTTCAATCCATATTATTTTGTAAGCAACTCAAATTTAACTAAACCTTAAATAACTCCATGTTTGATATCATTGTGGCTTAAGCAACAGCAAAAGATAAAAGCCAGAAAGAAAGTACGAGACAGAAAGAAAAGAAAAAAAAAAAAAGAGACAGAAAAGCAGCAGAAAAAAGAAAAAAAAATAAAAACTAAGAAAAAAAGACAAGAACAAGCACAAAAAAAAAAAAAAAAAAAAATTATAAAAAATATATTAAACAAAAGGAGTTTCTAAATGAATTATTTTTTAGAGAATTCTCCTGGCTTAGTTACATTGAAATGTCTTCTATTTATTCAACAAAATTAAGTTTAATCAACCATTTTAAGCAATTGAAGTACTCCTCAAAATTCAAAAGATGCTTATATAAAGAAAAGTTATTCATTATACCAGCTTTATTAAGATGTGTCCCTTCTCTCCAGTTTTAAATTTTGACATTTAGGACATGCAACTTTTCAAATGTGTTTTTTTTTTTTAAATTAAGCTGGGCTAATTTGGGATATGAATGGGAAGAACATGAATTCAAAAATTTAGTAGCATTGAGCTTTCAAATGTAGCAAAATTTGATATTTATAGATAAAATGGGCAACTCTGTTTATAGAACATCAATAGATTAACAGGCAAGTATATATGAAGTAGGGGTTCACTTTTCTTTCTCAATCAAGTAACAAAACGAATCCCCCACACACACACGTTTTCTAATGTCACATATTTTGCCAATTGAAAAAAATGTCAGATTAGACGATTTTTGAACATTACTAAATTTTGAATTTGACTACTTGCAACTTTTGGAGCTACTTTTTAAATTAATCTGAGTTAATGTGTGCTACGGAGAAAGTCAATTCAAAATATAGTAATGTGGAATTTTAAACCAGTTTAGTATGTGTGACACATAGAAGAATTTACTTAAGCATCACTGGAAAAATAGGAGGCATCATTGAAAGATAATTTATGAATTCCAAAAGATAATTATAAAAAAAAAAAAAAAAAAAAATAATCCAAATTTGTATTTTGTAATTTATTAAAAGCATTGGTAAATTATTGTTAGATGCTTTACTGACATTTACAGAAAAGATAAAAAGTAAAATTATTTTTCTATTCATCACTATCTCAGAGTTATTGCCAATAAAACTGTTTTTTTTTTCCATAACGTTCTTCCATATTCTCATCCTTAAATTAAAGAATTACCCTCAACTGAGCAGCCATTGGTTTTGATTATTTTCTGCAAGTTGACACCAATTTATCTCCAACAGAGATTTTATTATGCAAGACATTTTTTCTCAATAAGTTTGATCTAAGCATATATATTCAGATAATAAATATATACGATGTGAATCTGTCTATAATATTTGACTTTTAAAAATATTAATGATAATCCGTGTTGCACATTTATAAGTCTACCATTCACCTGTGTATTGAATATTGCTGCCATATCTGGTTTGGTGCTCCTGCTATATCTCTTGAGATTCTTGACAAAGTCTTAAGGGTCTGCAATGTTATCCATCCTGACCTAGCATCTTGACTAAGTATATGACTAGATTGGCAGTTAGGTCTCACTATTTTACTGCTGAAATAGCTACATGTAACCATAAGTTCTATACTAATAGCTTCTTTTTTCATACTTTCTTTGTTGCTTATAATCTTCAAAAACCTGAAATCCAAGATCATGTTCTTTTGTTGTCTCATTCTTTTTCACCAATTGCACTTTAGTGACATTATTGCCTTGCTTGGGATGAAATGATTATAATCTATTTGGTTGTTGAGGATTTTTTCATACATGGCAGAGAAGCCAGAAACCAAAAGAGAGTTCCACATGCAAGAAGTCCAAGAAATTAAATTATTTAGAATAGAACTTAAAGAGTTACATTTTGTTATTTTGGCAGCAAGATGAGACATATTAGGGTTGATAATTTTTTTTTTTTTATAAGTGCACATGATATTCAAGAAAATTTAAACAAGTCAATAGTGCTTTAAATATTTTAAAAAACTGCTATCATAAAGTTTAAAAAAAAAAAAAAAAAAAAACAGAGGCGTAACATTTTAACTCCCAAAATTTTCAAACAGTTGCAAAGGTTTATTCCTTGTTTCCTGTTTAGGATTGGGTTTCCAGTTCCTTCTAAAGTCTACTTCAACTTTATACTTTTAACATCTTTGCCTAAACTCTAAAAGCTAAAGGGTTCTTGTGTGTGTGTGTGTGTGTGTGTGGGGGGGGTTATTAAGGTAATTGAAAGACGACAAAAGCCAAGGATAATAGTAAAATACAATCTAGGTAAAAAATAAATGTATTTTAATTGATAAACTGAATATTTTGGTTGTTTTTGCTTAGTGGCATAACAACATCTATCGAGTGTTATCTAATATCAAAATCTAAATTTTGGAAAATTCAAACTTTATAATTGTTTTATCCCAGGCTGTTGGGACGAACAAAAATGAATGCAAATAAATGACAAGTATATGTTAACACATATAAAACAACTTTTATTTATATACTGTCCAAAAACGGCAAAGATTTTCTTGGATAGAAACCATGAATTTTATTTACTATTTATTTTTCCTCAATAGGAGTAGATAGGTTCACTTATAGCCCAGTTCACACTCCTCTCCGGTCTTCAGAACAAGAGGTTTATCCCTTGTTTCTGGTTTAGGATTGGGTTTCTAGTTTCTTCTAAAGTCTGTTCATTCTCTTTCTCTCCTGGTAGCTACTTGCATCTTAGTGGCATTATCACCTTGCTTGGGGTGTTGTCAGGAAAATAGGTTACTGTGAAGATCTTGACCATCTTGACAAAAAATAAAGTAGTTGCAAAGACACCAAATTAATGGAAGGGTGAGCTCCAGGTTCTTCTTTATGTGCCATGTCCCCTCAGAACAAAGGCGATCATGGCTCTCCACAATTTCCTGTCCTTTGCAAACTTTTCATAAATGTCTTTTTGTTATTGCTCCTAAACCCTACTCCACCATCCATTTACTCAAACTTGCTAGCTAGGTTATGCGTTGTTTTCCTTTGTTGCCCTTGCCATCAATCTGTCCTGTGAGTATCAGATTTTCCAAACCTTCTTTCTTCATTATGTGCCCTAGAAATCTCAACTGTCTGTTCCTGATATTAAGTATAAGTTTCCTTATTGTTTCCATTTTCTCTAAATATTTGTTGTTGCTCACATGTTCAGTTCGTAGTAATGACCAAATTTGGAGTTCACTAACAGAGATGAAAAGGGATAATATTCAAGCAATAAAGTTTTCTGGGAAGCAATAAAAAGCACTGTTTTATCTTGAAAAGTTGAAATAGTTTAAAGTTAATAAAATCAACAATTAAAAGATTTGTTAAAGCTATAAAATGTTAACGAGGCCATATTAACCTTTAACCTTCTGGAGGTGATTTTGTTGGCAAAGCAAAAATTTTATCCTGACATTCTACATAATAAATGATGACATGGGTTAACTAGTATTTAAAGTAGGGGATCGGTTTTCTATTGTTATTAAGTAATAAACTGATCCCCCATCCCCATTGAATTACTACATAATAATTGATGACATGGGTCAACATGTATTAATAGAAGATTCTATTGGACCTAAAGTTTGAATTTTGTAATTGTGTTGTCATATCCTGCTATGGCAACAGAAAATGACTACGATTTCGTAGTGCAGTAGAAGAGCCTTGAAAAACAATGCAGTGAAAAGTAGTGAATAATGCAGTTTGTTAAAGGTTAACATGTAAAATAATAAAAGTGTTGTCAGGAAAATAGGTTACTGTATAAATCAAATATGGCCTTTCAGATAAATTTCTAAGAAAGAAGAAAATTATATCACATTTAGTTTTTCTTGTAAATTAAAATTGGACACCAACAAAACAATTTATTACTAGTCCGCTACCTGTTGTTTTGCTGACAGCAAGACGATCAGATTTCAAATCTAAATTTGTTTGTTCATTTAAAATACTTTTATTAGAAAATATATTCAGTTGAAATACAGAAAGAATCAAGTGCTGGCTTATAGTTGATTTCCTCTTAACCAGGAGTTGTTGCCAGATAGAGATATTAGACCTTGAGATAATAATGTCCATTTTAATTTCATTTGAAAATTGTGTGTACACCTGCATGTATACATCTATATTTCATTGTAATAACAGCCCTAAAAATATAGAAATTTAAAAAGAAATTCTAAAAAAATAATTCTATTTATTAATGAAAAATTTCCCAAAAGTTCAATAAAATCCATCAGTCTCCAAATTTATGATTTTATTGTTCAGTCCAGTGTAGGGGTTGTTCAGACAGAAGGAATGTATTATTTCAATGTCAGTCAAATTGTGTATATCTATAAAGGTTATCTTCATGTGTATCTGTTGTAGAGTAGTTTTCACAGTGGAGGCTTGTATTTCAATAAGTCGTGCTAAATTAGGTTCGACGTACAAAACGTTAGGAACTTGAAATAAGAGTTAATGACGCAGCAATCTAGTTGTGATGGTTGGTACTTCAATGTCCGATATTGACTGACTCGCTCAACACCACTGAACTGAACTGGCGACTTCTACTACTACTACTTATCTGTGAGAGAGTCCATTACAATAGAATAGGTATTATGGCATAACAGTATCTTTCTTTCTTTTGTTTTTTTTTAAAAGCATTTCAACCCAAGCAAGGTGGGACGCCACTTGTACGCAGGGGGTTACAGAGTGGGAGCAAGAGTAAAGAGGTGTAATGGAGGAAAGGATGAAGAGATAGTTCAGGGCATCTGGAGATGTTGATTGACATTACATTTGAATAGTTGGAGACTATAGCTATCAGGGAAACAAGTAATAGGAAGGGAATTCCACAGACGGGAGGTGCGAGACAACGACGTTTAACTGTTTCGACAGTGAAAGGGTGACTTAATGTGCTTTTGTCAGTTAATGTACACGCACACAAAATAAACAGGCAGATTTTTAATAGGGACAGCTATTATAAAGCTGAAACAAACATGATATATTCCTCATAAATATATTATGAAAGTTTAAACATTAGTTGCCTAATACAGAGTTTTTCGCGAAAATATTGACTTGCATAATAAAATCTGACAGTGTAGTAATTTATTACTTATTAACAACACAAAACCTATGCCCCACTTTGTGTTCAGAAGAAACTTAGTACTAGTTGACCCATGTCATCAATTATTATGTAATAATTCAATGGGGGTGCGTTCGATCAGTTTATTACTTAATAACAATAGGAAACCAATCCCCCACTTTAGGTCCAATAAAATCTATTAATACAAGTTGAAAAAAAAAAAAGAAAGAAAAAAAGGGGGGTCAGTCAAATCAGCTGACTACTTTCAAGAGATAAATATCTAATAGCACTTCATGGGGTAAGGGGTTGGATGGTACAAAGAAAAAAAAAAAAAAAAGGACAATTTTTTTTTATAGTCATATAACCCCACCAGCACTTCAGAAATTTCTAACAGTGCTTTTTTGATGAAAAAAAAAAAAAAAAAAAATTTTTATATTTAAGTAATTCGACAACTTTCAAAGTTGATTAAGAAATTTCTAACCGTACTTGGGTTGAAAAAAAAAAAAAAAAATTAAATAAATTTAATTACCTTTTCAAGTTGATTAGCCACACTCTTTCTTTCCACTTCAAGTTCTCTTGTTAATCTTTCAAATTGTGCCTCCTGTTTGAAAAAGAAAAAAAAGAAAACAGTTATATTTTCATAAAAATTTAAATGGAAGGAGAAAAAAAAAAAAAAGAAAAAAGGAGAAAAAAAAAAAAGAAAAAAGGAGAAAAAAAAAAAAAGAAAAAAGGAGAAAAAAAAAAAAAAAAAAAGGAAAAAAAAAAAAAAGGAGAAAAAAAAAAGAAAAAAGGAGAAAAAAAAAAAGAAAAAAGGAGAAAAAAAAGAGAGAAAAAGGAAAAGAAGGAAAAAGGAAAAGAAGGAAAACGGAAAAGAAGGAAAACGGAAAAGAAGGAAAACGGAAAAGAAGGAAAACGGAAAAGAAGGAAAACGGAAAAGAAGGAAAACGGAAAAGAAGGAAAACGGAAAAGAAAAGAAGGAAAACGGAAAAGAAAAGAAGGAAAAAGGAAAAGAAAAGAAGGAAAAAGGAAAAGAAAAGAAGGAAAAAGGAAAAGAAAAGAAGGAAAAAGGAAAAGAAAAATAAAAAAAAAGGAAAAAAAAAGGAAAAAAATAAAAAAAAATTAACTAGCTGAAGTACCCGTCTACACAGGACACAATATCAAGACTGAGATCCAGAAGTAGATATAAGGACAGTAGAATGATTCCTTAGTACTGACAGTGAACTGGTAGGATTGGATTTGATCAGACTCAAGTTAACCTGGACTCATACCTTTCCCAAGGGAAGGAGTACAAAGCGAGTATAATGTATTCTAATGACATCTTCCTTCAGAATGTACATGATCATGGCTCTCCACGAATTCCTTTTCTTTAATATATTTGAACTGTTAGGAGTTCTTGGGAAAATTATTGAACCAGTATGCTGTTTCTATAGTTTTCAAATCAAACTCCTCTCAAATGACAAATTGTGTATTGCAATATAAGAGGGTGGGGTAACATCGCAAAATTTAATGAATGGAGAGAGATAATGGAAGTCTAATCTAATAGATGAGGGTGTTCATTAATTAAATTATGTTTTACAGTTTATCAACCCCTTGCAAGTTATTTAAAGCCAGAAAATATTTTTAGACCGTAAGAAATTTTTTTTGGAGATAATGGTTTAGTAATATTAGTTTTACTAATTAACCCATAGTTGGGGAGAAGTGGTGGACTCATACCTTTCCCACCTATATTTGCACATAAGTGAATGTAACGAACCCAACAAGAATTCGACCTCTGTCTCCAATTAACAATTCTGAGCCATTATCCATTACGCCATCTGTACAACCAAGCTGGTATTCCCAAAGGGTCACCCATCTAGGTACTGACTAGGTTCAATGTTGCTTAACTTCACTGATTGTATGGAAACTGGTGTTTCAATGTGATATGGCCATAAGCCATAATAGTATTCAATAAATGGAGTGATTGGAAAATGATGAAAAGCTTTTTGAACTGTAATAAAACATTAAAGAATAAAACTAAAAATAAATAACCATTAATGTCTTCAAGCAAAATGCTTTAACAAAAACTATTAAAGAAAACATAATAATAATACTTTAATTCCCTATATATAATAGGCCTTCATCCATAATACAAGCCCCTAAAATTTTGCTGAAAGTGTGGGGAAATGTTTCCACTCATGCATAATATGCCCCCCACCACCTTGTTTCGTAATCAAACCCTATAAATTGTACCTCTCCAATTTCATTACGGCCAGTGTTTCCTACTCTTATTCAAGCTATAATTGAAGATATTCATCAAAATTTCCACTCATCACAATTCTAAAAAGAAACGGAAATACCTATATTGTACCTCCTGCACAGACTCATTAACCTGTTTTTGTTTGATAAAATGTGCAATCTACCGGATCTATTCAGAAAAATGGTTTTGAACATAGAATAATATTATTCTAATTTAGTTTTATGATAATTCTTATTTTATATTTATAAGTATTGTTAGGTACATATGATTGTATTTGACATCCTTATGGGGTCACAATCGCAGAATGTTAGTGTCAAATCATCGTGTGTTTGTAGTAGTCATTTCACAACTGAAATCGACCTACGAAATGGCAATTTTTTCAAAGATATTTTTGTATTTGTGCATAATATGCACCCCTAATTTTGCTTATTATTTTTTTAGAAAAAAAATGTGTATTATATATGGAGAATTACAGTATATTAAATAAAAATATTTCCATGAAGTCTTGCGATCACAACATAAATAAATATCCATCAATGGCTTACAAATAATTTATATCAAACGTCTCACAATAACGTTTTAAAATGCATTAATGAAATTGAAAATAATATTTAATTCATTTTGATTATGTTAATAGTTTGTAATTTAAATGAATTGAATGCAAAAGTCCACATTGCAATGGATTTACTGTCACATGACATTTTAGAACAAAGTTTTCTAGCAAGACAATTTAGAAGAATTGTTAAAAGTTAATAAGTGTGGGAGGAGGAGGTTTTATTTATCATCCCCTCCTAGAATAACTTCGATTCAAAGCTAGAAAGTTCAGTCTACCTTGTTATTTAACCCATAGTTGTAGAGTGAAGAGATAGATTCATACCTTTCCGAAGTGTATTTGTGCAAAATTGAAGGCAATAAACAAGGCCAGAAGTTGAACTCTGCTTGTCAGTACCCCTTTTCTATTCCAGTAACCATCATACGACTCATCTGTGAGCATGAGTAAGCACAAGTGAAATTCCAGCCTCATTTGATGATTGTTATCCTTGATAAAAAAAACTACCTTGCTAATAGTACAATTATTTAGTACATTATATATTCAGGGAAAGATGGATACATGCCTTTCCCAAATATGTTAGTGTTTAAATTAATACATATAACCTTTTTTTAATTTTATCTGTTTCCCCAATTTCATTTTAGAAAGTTACCGTCTCGCAGACAGGTGCCCCCCCCCCACTTTATGGCTTAATAATTGATGATTTACTGTCGACTCACAGATAGGTCGCACTATAATCTGGGGAGTTACACAAACCTTTTTAAACGTAAGAATTATCAAATATCTACCTTTATTTCTACTTTTATTTCAAAACTTACAATTATTAATACAATTTTGCAGTTAAAATAGATTTTTCTGTTTTCCATCATGTAAGCAAAAAAAGTAACTGTTGTATTGGTATTTTTTGAAGGGCTCTGGTTCTTATTGAAAGTCTTGTTACAATAAAAAATTCTCTTATTTCTTATGTCCACAACCCAATCATACAATTCTTTTTCCATATTTTAATATGGAGATATTCAAAAATTTGCTGCTTTCTTTGATTTTGGCATTTCTGATTTCTCCATCCTCTGACAGTCTTTTCTGAAACTCCAAACCAAACTGCCTTTCTGCATTTCAATTTCCATATTCTTCTGCATAATTTAGTAATTTTAATTTAAAACCTGCTTCATAATTCTTTCTTTTACTCATGATTAGGGTTTGCAACAATTAAAATTATAAACTATAAATTTGGCTACCAACTATATCACTGCGCAATGCAAGACAAACATTTTAGGTACTAGATTCATGCACTTTGTTATTTGTAAATAACACTTAAGAACGCCTTTTAATGTTTTATGAAACAACCATTAAAGAAAATTATCTCAAAGAATGTATTTTATTTGTTTAAGTCATATTTTCCATATTTTTGACAATATATATATATATATATTTTGCAGAATGAATCATGGGACTATTTTTTCTTTGTCAATAAACATCTACACAGTTCTTTATGTATGTTCAGGGTTTCTATATTAGTCTAGTGCAAGCGCCCTGACCAAACAGTGACTGATGGATCAATGAATATTTTATAATTTTATTTATTTATTGTGACAGATAAATCAATGAATATTTTAAAATCTTATTTATTTATTTATTTGTGATGGATATGTGAATCTAGCAGCATGAGGTAAGTTTAAAGCAGTGAGTCAGTATATATGATAAATAAATTGTTTCTATATGGAGAAAACTTTAGTGTTTTTATATGTATCATTTCTGATTTCTCTAAAATCATGATGATAAGGTAGTGTTGTTTTATATTTATGTTAAGCGGATAGGATGCACCCCTAATATTTTGTGAAATTTTTGGTAAAAAAGTGCAACCTATCCATGATTATATACGGTACTAATGATATAATAGATAGGCAAATGCTGTAAAGGTTAATGTCTTGGAATGAGTAATTGGCATTCAGAGTTCAAATCCAAGTGAAATTCTTTACATTCATTTTCACACAAATACCTTTGGGAACAGTATGAACACACTTTTTTTTTTTTTTTGTTTTAAATCATTTCACCCCAAGCAAAGTGGAAATGCCACTAGTTCACAGGAGGGTGATGTTACAGGGAGTGAACGTGAGAAAAAAGACTGAGTATATGGATGACTGAGAAAAGGAAAAATGAGTAATGGGGTTCAAAAAAGATAGTGATTGACATTGCATTTAAATTTTGGAATATTGTAGATAACAGGGAAGCAATGAAACAGAAAAGATTTTTACAGGCGGGAAGTGCGAGAAAAAATGTTAGAGTAGAAGTAGCAGTTGCATTTAGCTATTTCAACAGTAAATGGGTGGGGCCTGGATGCCAATCTACTGATACACTTAAATTCATGTAATCAGAACACAAGAGAAAAAGGCTTGTTGGGGCAGTTGCCATGAAAATATTTGTAGAAGAGACAGAGAGAAGCCATGCCACATTGTTGAGAAAGTGACTGAAGTCAAGATGCCAAGATAGATTACATTGTTGATCCTTCATACTGTTATACTACCTATTCTTTGGTAATGGACTCTCCCATAGATAATAAGTAGGAGTAGCAGTGGTAAGTCTGGCAGAACGGTGTTGAGCGTGTCAGTCGAGATTCGGACATTTACCAACCATCACAACTAGATTGCTGCGCCATTGACTCTTATTTTCCAAGTTCCTAACGTTTTGTACGTCGGACCTAATTTAGGACGACTTATTAGAAATACAAGACTCCACTGTGAAAACACTCCACAACACATACACAGATATGACAGCAGTATTCAATGCTGGGACGAATGGTAGATTTCTAAATGTGCAAGATGGATTCTGATGAGAAAAATTTTCTGTTATGACAGTGATCCAACTTTCCTTACAAGTAGATACAGGTATTGATTTGATATAATGACTAAATATAGTGACTATATGCAATGTACAGGTATTGATTTGATATAATGACTAAATATAGTGACTATATGCAATGTACAGGTATTGATTTGATATAATGACTAAATATAGTGACTATATGCAATGTAACAGGTATTGATTTGATATAATGACTAAATATAGTGACTATATGCAATGTTTCTTTATTGATTTGATATAATGACTAAATATAGTGACTATATGCAATGTACAGGTATTGATTTGATATAATGACTAAATATAGTGACTATATGCAATGTACAGGTATTGATTTGATATAATGACTAAATATAGTGACTATATGCAATGTACAGGTATTGATTTGATATAATGACTAAATATAGTGACTATATGCAATGTACAGGTATTGATTTGATATAATGACTAAATATAGTGACTATATGCAATGTACAGGTATTGATTTGATATAATGACTAAATATAGTGACTATATGCAATGTACAGGTATTGATTTGATATAGTCACTCCACTTCAAGTCAGTTGAAAGCCTGAGGTGAAGAAGGCTCACTTTGTTGCTCTTCAGAAATCTAGTGTTGTTAGCCTTGCAGAAAAGTTTCTCTATGGTGGTTAAATGAAAGCTATTTTGTTTTGGAGGCATTAAAATTTACAGGCCATTTTTTCCCCCCAGTTAACCATTAATTGGAGGTTCTTTTCAACAACAGCAACCAGGATTATTTTTTCAGGTTTGATGGATTTGCTCCACAGCTATAGGTTAAATAGCATGGAAGACTACGTTCATCAGCCTTGGTTGGCAATCAGTCTAGGACAATTCTAAATTTGAAACTAATTAGTCATGAAGCTAGTAACTACATCCTGTGAAGAATTTAGTCATTATGGAAACCACAGCAGCAAAAATACTTCACGTGTTGAGGGCGTAGCTTCATAATCCACAGTTGGAATGTATGGGACTTAAAACCAAGAGTAATGATAGGATACTTTCATGGATCTTCTTCACTTTCTTGGATCTTCTAAAAGCGAAATGAACCAAAACCAAAGTGTTTAACAAATTTCTAAGTCATCAGCAATCAAAAACACCTCTTGGTGTTCCAAAAATTCAAACAAGAAAGGTATAAATTAATAAGAGAAATCATCTTCTATGTGCCATGTCTCTTCAGGACATGAGCAATCATGGCTCTCCACGACATCCTGTTCTTTGTAGCTCTTAGTAATGATTGTTTTTGTAATCTCTTCTAATCCCTGTTCTGC